AATGGCGAACACATCTCGAACGTATCGAAGCTGAGATTGCTCTTCAGATCGGTCTCCTTCGATATCTGTCGAGATCAGCACAAGATCCAAACAGCAAGACAATGATAAATGTTTTCAAGTCATTTGTACGCACAGTCATCACATACGGTTATCCTGTCCTTCTCACAGCCGATCAAAAAATATGGTACCACTTACAAATCATGCAGAACAAAGCAATCAGAGCTGCACAAGGTCTACCCATATACACGTTCGGTCAAATACATCCACCAGATTAGCAACATTCCAAAGATCAAGGATTATGCAATAGGACTACTTAAACAAGCAATTCAAACAGCGACATCATACTAGAAAAGACTTAAAAGAAATCGCCAACATCGGTATGAAGCTAGCACGACGGAGCTAGCACGGACAAACTTTGGAAAAATTTTTATCTATATCTCTGTTCGTTTCCTTTAGGTCTATTTATAATCCAGAACGAATTTTTCCAAAGTTTATCCGGTGAATAAAAGTACCACCATTCGGTGTAGAATTAAATTCTGAGTCGAATGGTGTAGTTTTCATGGACAGGACTTATTTAGTAAAAAACTTTTTACCTAACATATCGTTTGTTCGTGCTAGCTAAGTCTGTTGTCGCTTCATATGCTGTATGTAAAGTATGCAATCTATATACTGATTCCCTCGTTTCTAGCTAAATCGATTCTCTTTTCCATATCGGCACAGCCAGCTAACGGTCACCTTCACTGAAGAAGTTTTTAAAAAAGTACGTGAGGTGGAAAAATTTTCTGTCCACAAAATATACGATCGAAAGAGTTTCGAACACGTAGAGAACTCCTCTCGCCTTCGTCTTAAAGTGTTCGGAGCAGAGAACTATTTTTACTTGATTAGCCAAACAAAATACATTGAAAAATCGAGCAAAAAATAGCTGATAGTTTTCGTGAAATCTTCATTTTTTCAAAAAAGATTGACAGGAGTTACCGAACGAACGTCGAACTGTATATTGATCGAGTCCTAATCCATGTGCACACCGTAGTAAGGTTTGGGATGCAAAAGAAACTATGGTCTAATCACAAGGAACGCCCGAGATATCGAGTTCCAAAAACTTCTATCTTTAAGGACGCAATTCCGTAATGAGTGAAATTCCATAACGGATATTGTTACTGATGTATCCCTCAAACGAACATGCGTTTGTTGAGAATCATTTTGCATGTTGAAAGCTTAATCTAAGCTGAACTGCTGTAGTGAGGAGGGACAGACGGCAGACATTGTGTTGCTTCGGGAAACTTGTTCGTCTGAAAGTCACCCTCAAAGTCAAGGCTTTTTTCATAGCTGTCACAATATCATTACCCCGGGTATCCAGAGCTGAACGTCTCGATATCCACTAGAATAACTAAACTAACTTCGTCAGCCGATCTCGTTACCCATTACCCGATACCCGATACCCGTTACCCGTTACCCGATACACGATACCCGATACCCATTACCCGATACCCGATAACCAAACTATGTCACCCCAGATGTGAGGAATTTGAGTGAATTTGGTCGGACAATCTCGATACCCGATATCCAAACTGTATCCTCCGGAACGTGAGGAATTTGAGTGAATTTGGTCGGACGATCTCGATAAACAACAACAAATTAAACTACATCGTTCAAACACTTGATAATGGTAGTTAATTAACTACATGTGTCTATCCTTGGTTACATCTAGGGTGAGCGTGTAGTCAGTAGGCGCATCACAACATGAGGGTGTGGGGGAGGGTGTAGTCAGTAGGCGCATCACAACATTAGAGTTTTGGGAGAAAGGTCGGTACGTGCACGAAAGCCTCTTCCAATTTTCACTCCAACAAGTGATCCGGCGACGAGTGGTACGTTCTTTTATTCACTCTAGCTCAGAAATAAGGCTTAAAGTACCGAATTAAATTCCCTTCTAGATTCTCATTGCCCTTCCTGCTAGCGATACCATGACGAGTTGCTATCTCGTTACCCGTTGGGTATCGACCAAATTCACTCAAATTCCTCAGCTTCTGCGGATACAACCATGGGTATCCATCTCGTTACCCGTTGGGTATCGACCAAATTCAATCAAATTCCTCCGGTTTCTGAGTATACTGTTGTCGATTTTTAAACGGATACCTGTGGTAATGATATTATGACATCACTCCATTAGAATTAATAGAAAGCAAAGATTGTTCTTTTTTCATGAAACGAACCAATTAGGCATTTGTCAGTGAGTAGTTGTCTAGTGTTAACTATGTTTCACAGCTAACAATTACTTCTTTTCTATACTTTCAGGAAAATGATACCCTGTCGAATATTTCATTGAACGTTCGCGAAATTCCTTTTAAAAATCTTTGATTTTTTATAAGGTTGCCCCACACGTATACTCTACGGTGAATCTGAAATTCTAACGTCTAGTCGTTGATGCATATACAATCAATTTGGTATTTCCACTGCAAAAAGTTAACTCGTTCATAATCGACCGGTTTCTCATCAAAGATAGTGGGACATCATCGGATAGTGGAATCTGAAGCACACATTTTATTCTTCTTTCCATTTTTACTAACAAATAATCGGGTAATTTCGTTCTTCAAACGATATCAACCAAGTTTCTTTATAAATCATTCAAATTATCTAGTTGTTTCAATCCTCGTTTTCAACCTAACTGTTCATATAAATGCCTAACCGTTGGTGAATCTGGCTTTCATCGTTAACTCAGACCGAACCAGCTCTATGCGTACCTTCGATATATAATTCATTTTTATCTTCACCCAGAGCAAGTGTGTGAGTTGTCTCTCAAATTGTCCAAGACGTCCACGAAAAATGACCAGACGACAAGAGACCTACAATAAATTATAGATACGCGAATTAGTCGAAGTCAGGAAAATCGACGTAACTGGAAATGTAAAAGATATTGGAGTTCCTTTTTACTGCACACTCGACTAAATAAAATAAGTAATGAGGCGCAGTAACCGCCGGCCCATTTCTGAAATGATATCATCAGATCCTTTTATTCCTCAAAAGAAAGAAATAGAAATTATTTCATTTGAATAATCCGCCCATTCGATTATTTGTCGCGATGTTTTCCTCATACTCTTTTCGCTTCTTGAAATCTTCTGAAACAAACGCCCAGTCGTTGGTACATAAAAAGTATTTATGATTTTTTCATATACAAAAGCATCTTGTTCATAGTGAGTCGGTTTTTAATCGAAATGATCAAAATTCGTCAAAACTGTGTGATTTACAGTACACATTTTCTTGTTCTCTTCAATTTAAGAAGTTGGTAATCCGCAGAGCTTATTCTCGAAGCTCAAAGAGATATCAATCATGTTTCTTCAGAAAAAAGCCATTGGCACCAGTTGCGACTCTTATCAGTCTCATCTTTCGAATAAATTTCAAAAGGAACGCCTAGTCGTTCGTCGAACTCCCTCCGGCCGGCTATTCAAAGAATACCGTACTCCCCCCTCCCCTACGGCAAAATATATCCATATGGATACACCCGGTTGGAAAGGGTTAAACTACTAATACCATAATGTAAGATATACCAGATCTCTTTGTGTAAGCTCCATAAACTACTGTCTTCGTACATATCACATTCGGGAATAGCGCTGAAACAACTACCTTCTACAACAGAATTTGTAAAACACGCAGAAAAACATCTCTTTTGAAACAAGAAATGAAAAAGTCTAAGATTGATGAATAAGAAAAAACTAAGCTCAGATTTGAATTCCATGACATCGATTACCCTTCGGTCAACCCTTAGTGTGAACATTATTATTCTATGCATAGTTAATAATAAGTTAATTATTAGTTAAAACAAACACCAGATTCGAATTCATCGACATCATTTACCCCTCGGTCAACGCTTACCCTGCATATTAATAATTTATCTATAGTTGACTTAGAGTTAATTAATAGTTAATAATCAGTTAAGATTAACTTCAGATTCGAGTTCCTCAACCCGAAAACCCTTCGGTCAACTCTTATAAAAAAATATCTTTCTGCAAAAAAGTGAACCATTGTCGCAAACAACAGGACAGATAGTTTTTACGGAAAAACTAATATCGGATTCGTGATCCTCGACCTTGATTACTTCAGGTGAATCATTTCCGTATGGTCATCTCTAAGATTTTATTGGTTTATAAAAAGCTGCAACCTGATTGGATTGGACAAACTCACAAACTTTTAGATTTTGAGCCACCGATTTTAGAACGCTATAACCCTTTCTTTCAGAAAAGGGAATTATGTTTCTTCTTTTGTTATCTCAGAATAAGAACTGGCGCACCAAGAGGAAACAATATTTGAGGTTATTCATACTATAGTAGAACAACCAATGAGATGTAAATATCTATTGTGCATGAATATCAAATAAAAATACGACTGATCAGCGACGAAAGCGTTCATCACCTCTCCTGAATTCCGTAGGATTGATATGCGATGATTTTGTTCTCTACAAGAGCTGTAGAAAAAGAACATTTTTGGTGCATTTCTGTTCTCGTCAATATTTTGCAATAAATAATGAAGCTTGTACAGAATTTACCCAGATAAAGTTTCGTCATATTCATGAAAGATATGATCGAGTGGAATTCGCATAGATAACTATACCAATTTTGCTTTTCCAAAAGCTCGTTTATTTCACTCTCACGAGTAGCTATAAGGACTTGAACAAAATTGCCTTCATGTTACATCCTGTACAGTTTAAATACTAACTTGGGGGTAGGGTTCGTCGAACTTCACTACTTATAATCATAAACCTTAACACTCTCTGACGTAAATCGTATTCGTGCTATTCAACATCTAAGGGCATTCGACGTATCAAATGATCGATTTTTCTCTCATTGAGGCGTTTCCTGCGCATTTTGATGAAACGACATCGACACAATACTTCCCTGAAAAGTTATATGATAGCATGTCATTTTGAAACTAGAGATGATTTTATTTTATAGGACTCAAAGAAGAACGCCGCAGTGCGTCCTTCACACATTCTAAGTTTCTTTTGTACATTAAAAGGTGTGGATGATTTGATGATAATGAACGTTTGCCAATTTGAACAGCGCGTTCACAATAGAAATGAGCTTTGGATAATCACCGTTCCTATGATACACCGAACCGATGTTGTTGTAGGATGTGGTTAAATCAGGATGGTTTTCAGGAAGTGATTGTTGTCTAATTGAAAGAGCTTTCCCGTAGTATTCGAGTGATTTTGGATAATCACCCTTCCTATGATACACCAAACCGATGTTGTTGTAGGATGTCGCTAAATCAGGATGGTTTTCAGGGAGTGATTGTTGTTCAATTGAAAGAGCTTTCCCGTAGTATTCGAGTGATTTTGGATAATCACCCATACTATCATACACCAAACCGATGTTGTTGTAGGATGTCGCTAAATCAGGATGGTTTTCAGGAAGTGATTGTTGTTGAATTGAAAGAGCTTTCCCGTAGTATTCGAGTGATTTTGGATAATCACCCTTCCTATAATACACCGAACCGATGTTTCCATACGATGTGGCTAAATCAGGATGGTTTTCAGGAAGTGATTGTTGTTCAATTGAAAGAGCTTTCCCGTAGTATTCGAGTGATTTTGAATAATCACCCATACTATCATACACCGAACCGACGTTACTATATAATGTTGCTAAAGTAGGATGGTTTGCAGGAAGTGATTTCTCAAGAAGCATAAGTGATTTGGTATATAATGTTATGGCTTCCTGAAACAAGCCTTGCTTATATCTGATACGACCAAGTTGATGAGAAATCACTCCCTCATCACTATCATCGGATGTTTGGTTTAGTAAAGTATCATAAATCTTCTCAGCCGTGTCTGGTTGACCCAATTCAATCAGCAGTTGGCCTAATCGCGTCCATCCTTTACCATCAACATGATTCTCTTGACGAATATGATCAGTCAATGTGCGTAACTCTTCGTCAGAATCAAGAGTCAGCGTGATATTTACTTCATAGATTGGTGGACCAGTGCCTATAACTTTGATGTCATGAATGCGAAACACGGTGTGCATTGAAAACAACACTTCGGTCTCTTCTGAAAAGTGACTGTCATTCCCAACACGAACAAACGGTGTTGTTGACTGAGAAGGATCGACGCGTATTGTGAAGAGAATTCCTACTAGCTTGGGATTGTTTGCGCTACTTTCAGCGTAGGAAAACGAGACGTCACGGCTTATGCTGGTAGAGAAGAAATTGTTGAATGACATCAACCCACCTATTGTATTTTTCAGTTCGTCAAAATCCGTGTGAGATAGACCTTGTCCACGATATACTGTAAACACAAGAGAACTCCAAGATGTGTTAACGAACTGTTCTTTGTGCAACTGTTCAATGTTGCGATGAAGATCAGTGATGAAGAATCCCA